CCAGCCTCATGCTCCTGCCAGCTGTCCCTGCCTGCGACACCCTTGCCCTCTGCTCCTGTTCCTGGCTGACGAGTCTGTTTGCATGTCTCGTGTCACACGCCATGACTTACGTGTGCAGGGTGCACTGAGTGTGTCTGCTGTGCTCTACCACGAGCACGGCCTGCTCTGCTCTTACCAGCACAGCACCGGGAACAACATGATCCAAACTTTCTGTGACGGGCTGTGCACACCAAGAGAGAGGGACGAGGACGTCCAATGCTGCAGGAGGAAGCCGGCCTGTTCTCCTGCAGTCTCAACCCCCCCTACAGGTAATACACCACACTCACACCTCCCATCTGCTCCTGTGGATTAAGCATGGGGCAGAAGGCATAGTTTGCAAGGCTCTTCCGGGACAGCCGTGATGATGGTGGGATGAATGGGGTCGGTCCCACTCTGGGAGTGTCCTGTGCCAAGTGCCTCATCCCTCAGTGAGGGTCCCAGACGGATGTCACAGACCTGAGACACAGAACCCATGCACTGCCCCACCCCCCATGGAGCACAGAGCATCAGGGGGCAACGGCAGTAAGCAGAGGGCTCAGCATGGTGACTGTGTACTGCAGAGGACTAAGCATGGTAACTGTGTACTGCAGAGGACTCAGCATGGTGACTGTGGCCCTGAGCCACCTCCTTAACATGGACATGCACCAGCAACTGACCGTTAGCTACAGCTTCCTGAACTGGGCTGCCAGTGAGAGCCTGGGGCAGCAGTGTCGGGTCACTAAGGCTGGGGCCAAGTGCCCTGGAGCCTACAGTGTGGACGCTCCCTCCCTGTGAGATGCTGAGGACACAGCTGGGCCTCTCCGTGCCCATGTTCCTCATCTGCAGAGCAGGAGTGACAGCCCCAGGGTCAGGGTCCAGAGGCAGTGAGCACCGCATCCCGCCAACAGGCAGGGCCAGTCCCTCTCACATACTGCCATCAGTGGCATTGAAACTGACTCGTCCTCCTTCTGCTTGTCTGAAATTTGCCAAAGCATGTGACCATAGAAGCAAAAGCCGTTGTCCATGCAGGTTCAGGGGCAAACCCACAGCAGAACAAAGGCCCACACACTTCCTGACTCGCAGCCCCAACAGCAGCTTCCGCGGGAACATTGTTTCCACATCGCAGTGCGTTCTGTCTCTGGGACCGAAAATAGACCTGCCTGGGCAGAGCACACCTCGAGGGGGGAGAGTCTCCACTCCCTCCTACAGATGGGGACACCTACGGGGCGGGAGACCAGAACCCAGGTGGTAGCAGCCTGTTCTGGACACAGCAGAACAAAACATCCAAGTTCAGCTAAGTGCCTGCTCTGAAGGACGCCACTGGGCATTCATTAGCTCCGTGATGGGGTCTCGGTTCTGAGGACTCCCTGTGGGGAGCTGCAGCAGGGCTGCACTTGACCCAGGCTGCGTACCTGGTGCCTGCGGGCAAAGTTACCCAACAGCCATGGGCAGGAGCCCCATGCAGTGGCAACACTCCGGCCCCCGGGGTCCTCTGCACCTTTGGCCCTGAGCCACTGTCTGTATCACAGTGGTCACTTGGTTCCCCCTCAGGAAGTTGGTGGAATCTGTTCCCCCCCACCATACAGGTGACAACTAGCCCAGGAGTGAGCCCAGCCTCAGCTACACCCCCAGTGCCTCCTGCTGGGAACAGAGACAAAGGTGGAGCCTTCCAAAGGGCTCAAAGGAAGGCGTGATACCAACTCAGTCTCACACAGCCCGAGCGAGACTCTGAGAGGGTGGTGCTCACGCAAAACCACACAGCCAGGATAGGATGGCTGAGATCTGAGCCCCGGCTATGACTCTAAGGCCCCCTTGCCCCATGCCAGGTGTCACTCTGCACAGCCTTCTGAACACAGGCAGGGCGTCCTCTGCACCAGTGGCCTGGAGGGCTGGCTGCCTGCTGCACCTGACCAAAGCCAAACCAACAGAGGAAAATTCAAGGCTGTGAGGGAGAAAACAGGGTGCCACAGCGCCTTTCAGTATAGAACTCTCCCAAGGCCCAAACTCTGCCGTCTCTCGGGCCACCCCCGGACCCCTAACCTGCTCCTGGCAGCTGTGTGGCCTACCAAGTTACCTGCCTTCTCACCAAGGCTTAATTTTCTCATCTGTAAAATGGGGATGATGACCTCAACTCTTCTACAAAGCCAGACTTGCAGCAGGTCAGCACCCAAAATAAAAGCTGCCAGGCCCTCCTCACCCAGCCCCCCCCACTGAGTGTGCAGGGAGTCAGGGCTGAAGCAAAGCCACCTGGGCTTTGGGTGTGACCTCCAGGACATACCTCTGGTGTTGAGTGCAGGGGCTATAGGTCTTTGATGCACTCACATGTGTCTGCAGGCCAGCTCAGCCTGCCTGAACACAGTGAGGGTGAAGACCACCCAGAGCCCTATTCATCCTGAAGGACCCTGACCTCCCTGGAGTCCCCAGGCCACGTACGCAGTGGGTGTCACAAGGTGGGGAGGTGAGCAGAGAACCCTCTGCTCCCAGAAGAGCCGCAGGAGTACTCAGAAGACAAAATAATATGGATCTGGAAATTTAAAACAATAGTAATAAAGTAAAACCACCAAATTCTCTTTGGGAAGCAGTTGATGGCACGTTGCCATGGCAACTAGAGGCTGAATTATCCAGCAAGAGGTGGTAGAAGAATCTCCAGAAAGAAGGCAAAACAAAGACAAAAGGAAACAATTAAACCATTTCTGTGGGGAAAACAATCGGAGGCTCGGGAAGGTCAGGGCCGGCCTCCTGGGGTGGAATCTCTCAGCTGCCGCTCTCCCTATGGGTCTAATTCTGGGCTTTCAAACACAGTGGCAAATGTCCAGGGAGCCACTACCTTCCAGTCCAGGGTTTAAAATGAGTTAGAGGCCCTGTGAGCAACGGAGTAAGTCAAGCCCCAGGGCCTTCGAGGGCCCCCTGGTGCTCCCCAGCCTCCCACACACACCCACAGCCAGGCAAGGGGACCCCAGACTTCCCTCTGCCCCCTGGACACCACGGGATAAGATTGGTGGTACTTTTGAACCACATGTACTACCATCATTCACTTGGCTTTTTTGTTATTTAAATCAGTTCACTTAATATTTTAACCTGAAAGAGAACTTTGATTTCAAATAGAAAACCATCACCAGTGTCAGTGCATTGGTGATGGAAGAGCTGGAAACACCGGGGAACAGCAGGAGGGTGGACTACAGTCCCCGGACCTGCAGGCTTGGAAGGACTTTTAAAATGCTGTACAGATAGTATGAACCAGAAAGTGTATGAAGGGCCACCACTGCCCCAAGGACATAAGCTTCACTGACCCGTAGGGCTACAAGGGCCAAACCGAACAGTGTGACAGAGACAGCCTGGCCAGCAAGGCTGGAAGTACTCATGACCCGGAAGCACTCATTTCCCAGAAAATGGATGCTGACTCCTGGAGTTTGTGATGGGCAGCCTGACAACCTGAAAAGTCAGGACTTCTGTACATCAAAGAAGCAGAAGAGCCAAGCAACGTGCGGAACTGGGGAAGGACTGAAAGCCACAGCTTCAATCATAAACTCCTGAACATCATTGAGATAAAAACAATTAAAAAAGAAACCCCAAAACTTCAGGAAAAATACACGAATAGAAGCAGAAACGGAGAAGCTGATAAAGAATGAAAAGGACTCAATCAACATCTCCTGAAACCGCAGAGACAGAAAAGCAGACTTTGCAAGCACGCGGGTCCCAGCTCCGAGACGGCAGAACGCGGGCCGTCCGTGGCCTGCAGCAGGGCGTGGGCAGAAGGGCTTGCAGCGCACTGCCATCCCAGGTCAGGGCCTGCCCCAGCAGGCTGTGCCCTCCACCACAACAGGCCTCTAGCAAAGGATTTCAGCAGGAACTGGAACATTCGGGACCAAACTCCCTGGCAGAGAGCAGAAAGGAGGGGCCCTGAGGCTGGGCAGTGGAGGATCTGCCCAGTACAGGGGTCCAGGGCACCCTGTGGACCAAGGACTCTCAGCCAGGGATGGTCTGCATCCCCCACCCCAGGGGACATTGGGCTGTGCCCGGTTGTCATGGTGGAAGGAGGGGTGTGGGTACTATGGGTATCTAGTGGGTGGGGGCCCAGCATGCTGCTAACCACCCTACAGCACACGGGACATCCCCCTCCTGAGTCATCTGGCCCCAAACCATGTGCAGGGGGAGGGAGAAGCCTGCTGCAGGAGACCCTCTCCGCCCCAGGTGTGCCCAGCAGCTGCCGGAAATGCAGGATTCAGTACAGTCACCTGTGTACAGATGTGTGGCCTGGGACATGCAGGCCATACCAGAGAGCCCAGGTGTGCAGCAGGCTGCACGTCCAGGTGTGTGAGGACACGCTGTCTGCACAATAACAAAATCACCAGAGAATGTGTTTCGCAGAACATATCTGTCACTAAGTGACAGAAGACTACATTACTCCGTGTGTGCATGTGTGTGTGCACATATATGTGCATGTGTGTGCACGTGTGTGTGCTTGTGTGTGCATGTGTGCGTGTGTGTACTTATGTGTACTCACGTGTGTGTGCATAGTTTTTGTTGAAAACCTTTGAAGATTTGGCAATGCAGGATTCATGTTCTGGCAGTAAAAGGGTCAGATGGAGGTGCATAGGTATGTAGGGACTATCTGTCCTCTGTCCACAGCCCTGACAAGGCATGTCCTCTCCAGCTGGGCACAGTCCTCCCCTGGCGCCCACAGACCAGAGTTTCTCCACCAGGAGCGATGTACCCTCCAGGGGCACTGAGTGATGCCCAGTGCAGTTCTGGTTGTGATGGGCGGTCACCTGCAGTGGCCAGGGCTGCTACCAAGCATGCTGCACAGGACACTCCACAGCAAAGAACTGTCATCTCAGGTGTCAGCAGTGGCAGGGCCACCAGACCTGCTGCAGGGGCTGCGTCTTGAGCCCCCAGGCACAGGGAACTGTAGTCCCAGGGAAGCAGGACCTCCAGGGGGCTCCCCCTGCCTGGCCCGCTCCGTGCCCGCACGCGGCACTTACTTGGAGAGCTTCATCTCGATCTGCTGCCGGATCTCCTGCCTCTCTTCATCAGTCCTCCTGGGGAAAATGTTCCGGTCCTCCAACTCCTGCTTACTGGGCCGGTTCCTCAGCTTCACTGCCAGCAGCTCTTTCTTGCACTTCCTCGGGAGTGTCCCTAAGGGTCCCATCAAGGGGAAGAGAAGAGAAGGGGACAAAGAAGGCAGGTCTTAATGGACAGCAGGCTTTACACTGGGCCACACAGCTGCTGGAGGAAGGACCCTGGATGAGAGTGACAGAGGCCAGAACCAAGAGGACACACATTTGCTAGTGGGGGGTGCTGTCTGGAGGGACAGTGGGCAATGCAGGGGCAAAGTGATGCCACAGGCTCAGTCCACTAAGCCCTCGTTCACAGACACATGTCCTGTGACCAGGGATCCTATGTCCCCAGCTTCCTCCTGTGACCAGGGATCCTACGTCCCCAGCTTCCTCCTGTGACCAGGATCCTATGTCCCCAGCTTCCTCCTGTGACCAGGGATCCTCCGTCCCCAGTTTCCTCCCATAACCAGGGATCCTCCGTCCCCAGCTTCCTCCTGTGACCGGGGATCCTACGTCCCCAGCTTCCTCCCGTAACTGGGGATCCTACGTCCCCAGCTTCCTCCCGTAACTGGGGATCCTACGTCCCCAGCTTCCTCCCGTGACCGGGGATCCTACAGCCCCAGCTTCCTCCTATGACCAGGGATCCTCTGTCCCCAGCTTCCTCCTATGACCAGGGATCCTCTGTCCCCAGCTTCCTCCTATGACCAGGGATCCTACGTCCCCAGCTTCCTCCTGTGACTGGGGATCCTCCGTCCCCAGCTTCCTCCCGTAACTGGGGATCCTACGTCCCCAGCTTCCTCCCGTGACCGGGGATCCTACAGCCCCAGCTTCCTCCCGTGACCAGGGATCCTACAGCCCCAGCTTCATGGTGCAGTCCTTGTTGGTACCTGCTGTCCCAGGGTGATTACTAACAACACTTTTTCTGTCAAAAAAGTCCGAGTACCTACACTCTCCCCTTGCCTGCCACCCTCTGCCACCTGAGCCTTCTTTAGTTCCAGACATCCCACCTCACCATCTTCTCCCCCACCTTTCCCCTGCCCACCACGCTGCTCTGTCTGGCCATGAGGGGCTATGGGAGCCTCTAATGTCCCCCCAACCACCATCTATTTTAATTCCTCCCCTAACTGACATCTCCCCTGTTAGTTCGTTATGACCAGTCTCCTCTGAAGACTAAGTTCAGCGACATCACTGATCATGGACGTCACCAGTGAGCTCATGGGTGGGCTGACACCAGGTAGAAAGGCCTGGTTTGGCCTTTGTACTCTATACTGCCCAGGATCAGCTGAGTGAAATCAGGAAACACAAGGAAGACCTCAGGGAAGGGAATATTTAAAGTCACGGATAAGCAGAGCTGGGGCTAAGCTCCTTCCCAGGCGGAGAGGCGCATCCTTAGTGCACCAGGCCGTGCTCCGTGCAGATTCCTGCAGCTTGCTGAACACTGGCCCCCAGCCGCCCCTGGCAATGCAGATGCTGACCATTCACAAGCAACTCCAAACTGTGCTGAGGCAGGTGGAGTGCAGTTTGCAGGTTTATTAGGGCCAGGATTTAACTCTCGGGTTTAAACAATTATCCATCATGGCTGCTGCCTTCGTGAAGGCGGACTTTATTTTGTAAGAAAAATGGTTCCCAAAAGAAAGTCAGCTCCTTGTGTGTGAGATAGGAATACAAAGAGAGAAAGCAACGTGATAGTTTAACAGAAGTTTGAGTTAAAGTAAGACACAAGACGTGAACTCGGTTGAGGCTTGAATTCCTAACGTGCACTTGTCTGCCATGTGTTTTAAAAACAGAGAGAAAAATGGTGACTCTGAAAGCCTTTTCAGCCAGGGCTCCAGCCTGAGTTTGTTTTAATAGCTTTATAAATGACCGCAGTCCTTTATTTGTAGAATCATAAAGAGCCCGATAGCATCAGACACATTTTTCAGTTGGTGTTTTCTGCATGTTATGGGGGAGGCTGAACACTACAGTGATAGGCATGAATTCAGGGTCTCCGACAAATCCTTCATACATGTCAAGGGTCTAATTCACGGCCAAGTAGAAACCGCTATTTTCGGAAGACTAGAATACTCTTAAACGTAAAACTATGCTGAATGTGGCTTAAATCTTTTTATCTTTTGATAAAGCAAATCCTTAAGCCTATGGTGAATGTCTTAGGCTTGTCATTACAAACATTTAATCATATTTGTTCTTAACTAAAGAAAAGATGTTTTCATTGGACAGTTTCAGATATAAATGAGAACTTGCTCCAAGGGAGCTATGCTAGGAACAAGCAATTCTCATCAGCTTAATTTAGCACAATAAGGACACGCAGTAGGGCCACAACAAAAACTGATGGGCGGACTGGTCTTCTTGGTTGTGAAACTTATTAAAAAGCTATACTAATCAAGAAAGCATGATGTTGGTATAAATTTAAGCAAATAGATGCAACGGAGTAGAATAAAAAGTCCAGGCATTTTTCCACATATGTATAGACAACTAATTTTTGCCAAAGGCGCTGAAGTATTTCAGTACCGAAAAAATATTTGTCTTTTCAACAAATGGTATTGGAAAATTGTATATTCATATGTAAAATTGAGCTTTGATCCATATCTTGCATGATATATAATAAATAACTCAAAATAAATCATACGCATAAATGTAAAACCTAAAAATATAAACCTCTCAGAGGTAACAGGAGAAAACCTTTGTGACCTTGGGTTTAGAAAAGGTTTTTGAGTCATAAAAAGGGAAAAGCTTCATGAGTCAGAATAGAATGATTTGATAAGTAGACCTTCAAAATTATTAACCTGTGCTCTTCCAAGACATGGTTAAAAAACAATCCATAGACTAGGAGAAAATGTTTGCAAATCTAAAATTAGATCTAAAATTCATGAAGAAATATCAATGTAAAGAAAACAGTCTAATTTTCAAAAATAAGCAAAATGGTTAAACAGACACTTTACCAGTGAAGATAGGGTGGGAAATAAGCATCTGAAAAAATGCTCCACATGGCTAGTCGTTAGAGAAACGCAAATAGGCTCGGCGCCTGTGGCTCAAGCGGCTAAGGCGCCAGCCACATACACCTAAGGTGGCGGGTTCAAATCCAGCCCGGGCCTGCCAAACAACAAACCAAAAAATATGGTTGCAACCAAAAATAGCCAGGCATTGTGGTGGGTGCCCGTGGTCCCAGCTACTTGGGAGGCTGAGGCAGGAGACTCATTTGAGCCCAGGAGTTGGAGGTTGCTGTGAGCTGTAATGCCATGGCACTCTACCCAGGGGGATAGCTTGAGGCTCTGTCTCAAAAAAAAAAAAAAAAAAGAAATGCAAATGACCACTGTGACGGACAGCCCTACACACCCATTACACTAGCTAAAATGAAAAATCTGGGCGCATCGAGTGTGAGAAGACACGGAGGAGGTGGGACTCTGACACGGTGCAGGGGAGAGTGTAAACTGCCAGACAACTTTAGAAAACATTTCTCCATTTATAAAAAGGTTAAGCACCAGTCATTCTATTTCTACCGATTTGTCAGGATCCCTGAAAGCATACATCCACACGAACACGTTGGCAGATGTTCACTGCACTTTCTTTGTAAATGCTACAGACAACCCAGAGTCCACCAACACACGGGACCAGCTCTGTGCTTCCAAGGTGCCCCCATCTACTCCCTGCTGTGCCTGATGCCCACCTCACGAGGACCACACAGGGCACTTGATCCCACTAATAGCTGCCCTCTCAAGAGTAAAGAGAGGTGCCTGGTTCTGAGACCAGTGGTCAGAATGAAACTCCGGCCTTCTAGTCCAACAAGTGCAGGAAAGAGGAGGAGGCAGAGGGTCCCGCACCAGGCTTCTCCCCGGTCCCACCTGTGCCTAGGTGCACAGGCACCTGCTTGGGTATGCATAAAACACACCACACAGGTGAGAAACTGGCAACACTCAGGGAGACTTTCCACAGCACTCCTGCGTTCCTTTTCAGTGTATGCTGTGTGACTGTGTTACCTATCATGACAATAAAGATCAGCATAACAAGTGCTTATCTGCCTCTCCTCTGCAGCTTTTTAGCCTCCCTGCCTCTAGGACATTCTCCTTAAGGTCAGGGCTTCCCAGAAGATAAGGCTGTCAGGTGACTTGCCTCCCAAGGAGAGGTGCAGACAGAACCACCCTTCGAGCCACCAGGGGCATCTCTGACCGCCGGAACTGGAGCCTGTCTTAGCCCATTTTGCACAGCCATCGTAGCACACCTGGGATGGGTTGATTTATAATGAATAAAAGCACTTGGGCTTGTGGGCCTGGAGGGTGGAGAGTCTTGCAAGATGCTGGGATCCGTGAGGGCCTTCCTGCTGTGTCGCGGCATTGCAGGAGCCATCATGTGAGGAAGGGCAAATGCGGGGCGAGGGGAGCCATGCTGGCCTTTTACCTGAGCTTTCATCCCTCATGGTCTAGTCACCTCTGGCATCATAACTGCTGTGATGGCAGTTCCACTCCAGCTGGAGTTTTGGAGGAGACAGGCACGCAGAGCAGGGTAGACTATTAGGTTCCACCCTCGCCTCCCCCTCCTTGGTGAATTACTGAAAGGGGAAATAAAGCTCATGGAGGTACGAGCACCCCAGGCTGGCTGCCTGCCTGCCGCTCGGACCCAGACGTAATGTGTGCTCATGGCAAACAACTGAAGCCTCACAATAGTGTGAGGAGGAAAGTCTCCCTTTCCTTGCCCACATCTCACCTCCAAAAACAGCTACTGCTAACAGTCTGCGGTCTCTACTTCCAGACCTATTTCTATGCAACTGACAATTTATAGACTCCCACTTAACTGTTTTACAAATGTGGACTCACACTGTACACAGTAGCATGCAATGAGCTGTCTCCCCCACACCACAGCTGGCCACAGTCCCAGAGCAGGAAGTGTCAACCCGGCTCTAGCCCCTTAGTAGCCGTAAATAATCAAATAGTGTGGATGTCGCTAATCCCACCGTCTGTGGACCCATGAGTGGATATCTAGGGTGGTACTTGGTTTTTTACTTTTACCCAAAGCTGCAGGAAATGTCCCTCATTTCCCTGCATACATACGAATATACACCTCTGTTTGCTCTTGGGGACAGTGTGG